TCTGGGCATTGAAAAACCAAAAGTCTGGTCCAAGTTGCCGTTCGTTTCCAGGTTTGGCTTGAAGTTCGAGGAATCAATATCATGGATGGTCAGCTCCTTGTCCACAAACTTCTCATTAAACCAAGCGTTGGTAAATTTGGTGTTGTCGGAGAGGCTGCCTGTCCTCGGCGGAGTTGCTTGCATGCCGCCCGCGCGCAAAACCTCCTTAGACCCCTTGCAGGTAGGCACACAGAGAGAGGGAGGGAGGGTGGGAGATGATAATCCGATAAGCACCACAGGGCACCACGACGATTGACCACTCAGACCAGGACAACAACCCTCCACCGCAACACCAGGAGACCATCAGACCCAGGAGAGTACCCCACCAGAAGAAAACACCGAAAGACCAGCAAGAGACCACCAGGAAGTTCCGGAAATCGCCGAGAGACCACCGGGAAGCCAGTGGGCGGCCAGAAGGGAAATGACCGACATGCTTGCCCCCATATGCTGGCGGTGTCAGAAGCACGGATCTTAAATGCCTTTCCCCTCCATGTACTGATCACGGAACAACATGCTTCATATGCTTCAACATGCTTCCCACACGTGCAGCAACTGCAGCAAAGCACAGCACTGCAGCAATACGCCAAGAGGCCGCCATTTCTTCAGGTACTCCGAATGGTTTTGGTAAAGGAACGCGATCCTCGCCTGCGCGTCTCCCGAGCCTGCGTCGGCGGTTTGGATGTCCCAGGAATGGGAGAGATCTGCTTCTCCAGGGACCTTCACATGCAGCTCGAGCGTCAGATCGCTCTTGTCTGGGACCTGAAAGCAGGACAAGCAGGACGCCGTGTCTGCAAAGGTGTGACAGTGAGCTGTATCTTGGGACATCAGAAATTCAACCCAATCTCGAAAGCCTGGAAGTAGGCCGCCGCAAAGCCACCCATTACACAGTCCGTGGTGTTCCCATCTTGACATGGTGGAGTCGTCTCGTCTGGCTTGCGATAATCCACTCCAGTCTTTAAGTACATCTGGATTTTCCCGCCATTCTGCACAACCTGTGCGATCGACGGACTTGCAGTGACAAAAGGTTCGCAGTTCGAAGGAATCATGCCAGCACCTCCAAACCCCCTGCAAACCCTGCAAGCAGGCTTGTCAACATCCCTTTCATTCTAACTATGTTGAAGTTCTTCAGGGGTTTTGAGGGAGGTTACCATTGCTGGAGGTCGGTGGTTCAGATATCCCAAATTTAATCCGCACCTCCTCAAACCTCTCCCAGCGCA